TTGTTCCATGCCTACCATGGTGTTTTTGTACAGACAGCACTTCAGACAGCAAGTATGCTGTAGTCGGCAATCATTCGTTTTGGTACAGAGTGGGACAAGTAGGGGGTGATGTTGCTGTAGTCGAACGGTGAGACGGACGTGTAGTTCAGTTTTGGGCACGCGTACGGTGCTGCAGGGATTATATATAGGTGTAGTAGTACCTCTTCGGGCTCTTGTACACCTTTTTCTTGCTACGTGTGCGTGTTCTTTAGATCCTCAGATGGCTCCAGCACTTTCGTGACCACGGGCCGAGAGTCTTTGCTAGATTTTGGCATTTAGCAACTGGCATACGGTTTAATGTGAAGTCAACAACAACAAACAACAATCTGACCAACACTGCAGCTGTAATATTTTTCTTCGATTGAAAGGGTGGTGTTAAATAAACACCAGGTTGGTTGTTGGGGGAAGACTCACTTCGGTAGAGAGAGAGTGACCTCCAGCGGTGCAGCCTGTAGGCTGTGATGACCTAAGAGCGCTCGCCGCGGATGCGGCGGGCCAGCTGGATGTCCTTGGGCATGATGGTCACGCGCTTGGCGTGGATCGCGCACAAGTTGGTGTCTTCGAAGAGGCCCACAAGGTAGGCCTCGGCAGCCTCCTGCAGAGCGAGCACGGCCGATCCCTGGAAGCGGAGGTCACTCTTGAAGTCCTGGGCGATCTCACGGACAAGGCGCTGGAAAGGGAGCTTGCGGATGAGCAGCTCGGTGGACTTCTGGTAGCGACGGATCTCGCGCAAGGCCACGGTGCCGGGCCTGTAGCGGTGGGGCTTCTTGACACCGCCGGTGGCCGGTGCGGACTTGCGGGCGGCCTTGGTAGCCAGCTGCTTGCGGGGGGCCTTGCCTCCGGTGGACTTACGGGCGGTCTGCTTCGTGCGAGCCATGGTGTTGAGAGAGAAAAGCAGGAGGTTCAAGAGAAGAGAGAGAGAGAGATGGGAATGAACAATGTGGGGGAGGGTACATACGCCGCAGGAGCGCAGGAGAGCTGAGCTCGCCACAAAACGCGGCGAGTTATGGACCAAAGTTGAAAAGTGCCGGTTTGGATTTCGCCGCGTATTTGACTCGCGCCCTGATTGGACGTCCCTTCTTATTTGCAGCTCAAACCAGGACGTGGAATCTGGTTCCTGGTTCCTGCTTCCCTCCCTTGCTCTGCTCTTCCGCATCCCCTTGCTAGCTACCGCGTCTCGTCCAGCGCCGAAACAGCAGCCATGTCGTCCCCGAAACCAACTTACACTGTGGTGAGCAGCGCAGCAATCGCGTAGATGTTCCCCCCGATAGGAGAATGCTCGTGACTTGTTGTTGTGTCGTTGGCGGATTACATGTACGCCCGTTCACGGTCAGCGCCGCCGGCCAGACGTACAAGCAGACAGATCGGTTTGTGTACCTCGGACGTACCATCTCCGCGGACGGGAAGGCCGACAGGGAGATCACGCGCCGCAGCTGCCGAGCGTGGAAGTGCTACCGCCGGAACAGTGCTTCGATGTACGACAGGCGACGGGCCGACCGCCAGCTCAAGATCCGGCTTCTCCAGGCTGAAGAGGTGGAGACTCTCCTGTATAGGTGCGCCTCGTGGAGCTTAACAGCGGAGCACTACACGAAGCTCAATGGTGCTAGTTCGGGAGCTGGTGCCGTTCCCATAAAGATACCAGAGGCTTGTTGGTACATGCCGTTCCCAAATTGTGCAAATTCTTCATCCAAAATAAAATCTATCCATTTACAGACCCGTTCCCATCCAATGTAATTCGTTCGACTTCTGCTAGATGTTACGTTGCTCGGGTTTTCCCTCGACCACTCGATGTCTCTAACAAATGGTGTCTTGTTATCAGGCCCAATACCCCATCCCAACTTCATCGACTTAAACCCATGTCTCTCAGCTTGGTGTTCAAAGGACAATTTCAAAGCTTCCCTCAATTTTTCCTTCAATGGTACTACAGGGATATTAGGGTACATACCAACGAAGTCAAATGTTTGGAAGACATGCGCATCAGTACATCCCTCCATTTGTGCTCGAATATCGATATCCTGTGCTACTTCTAGAAGACGTTCCCCGTTATAGAGGTAATCCAACATTCCTTGGCAGCAATACCAACTTTTGCGCATTCTTCACGCCAGATCGTGTGTACACAAGGCCAGATACCAACCAGGACTGCGTTGAATACCTTGGCCACCCCTTCTGTGATCGTACCACAACAAGCCGTAATTCCACGTGTCGCTACCAACGGCTT